TATACATGCGGTACGCACTCAAACACATGATAAACAGTTTTACGTAAGTTTTTAATGAATAAAGTATTGTTTTTTTAATTAACATTTTCTTATTTTATAGAATTTTGAGACAAAGACCTCGTGATGTCGAAGTAAAAAATATTGTATAAGTTTGTTAGAAAAATTAGGAAGTTTTCAATATACACGTGAAGTTTTAGAATCCTTAGATAAAGAAGCCAGAGCAGAGGTAATATTGTTAAATAAAATTAGACATTTTCGCCTTCTAATACATTTTATTTACTTTCAATCAGGTTAATCGTTTGGGTGGCAATCCTTATATGGATATTTTACTAAATAAACTCTTAACCTGGCGTTTAGCGGATAATGAACAAACCAACAATCATTGCAATTAACAACCAAAGAGGCAAAGAAGGGAATGTTAAACATGTTAATTCATAACAACAAAACTAGTTCACCTTTTTGCTGCAACTTAATTAGATTTTAAGCTCTTTAAAGCCTCCACAACAGCTTTAATACTATTTCAAACTTTGTTATTAATTTTGTATTTAATGTATTTATTATTAATTAATTCAATTGTTTATACATAATATCGTATTTATATGCAAAACTTATAATTTGTATTAGTAGTATTCAATTGAAAAGGAAAACAAAGAAGTTTCTGAATCTCCTTTATATTAACTGTTCTTTAAAAGAAAACTAAAGAAAAAAGAAACACTATTTTAAACAAAAAACACACAATATGCTGCAATAATGTAACACCACCACCTCACGAAAAATAAAATTAAATAGCTTAATTAAATTAAAAAACACACACACATTTTAGGCATATATACTATGTACTTATTATATTTTATACTGACTGCATTTGTCCATTACGCAAACATACAATTTATAACTATTTAAAAAAATACCAACAACAACAACATGTTTATTTTTTAAATATCCTTACATGTAATACATATACTACTCTATTACTACTACTTAAATGTTTGTACGAGTATGTATTTTAAATACATATAAAGAAATGAATGAATGTGCTAAATAAAATATAACTTTTGGTGTTTTAATTTTTTAGGTGTTTTTTTTTATTAACAGTTTGATTTAAGGTTTTTCTGACTACCTGTTTGCAACTAAAAAGTGTTACTTGTTTTAAACAATTTGTAATGCAAGACTATTTGTATCTTTTTTTAATTTTCAAATGTTGTGACATGAATTTTTTTGGAAGTAAAAGAACATTGGCAAGCGAAGAATAATTAGAAAATACAATATAAAAAACTAGTACATTTCTTTCAGTTGAGTTTGTTTTTTCAATTATATTGTCAGAACCTTTGTAGTTGATAATAATGTATAAAATTCGTTTGTTAGAAGACCAACCAGGGGAAAGAAGGAAAAAAGACGGGGAAGAGGCAAGAAAAGGGGAAAGGACAGAGAGCCCAAAGCCGGGAGCGCGAAACGCAAACGGAAAGGCGAGCGAGCGAGCGAGCGAGCGAGCGAGCGAGCGAGCGAGCGAGCGAGCGAGCGAGAGAGCGAGCGAGCGAGAGCGAGCGAGCGAGCGAGCGAGCGAGCGAGCGAGCGAGCGAGCGAGCGAGCGAGCGAGCGAGCGAGCGAGCGAGCGAGCGAGCGAGCGAGCGAGCGAGGCGAGCGAGCGAGCGAGCGAGCGAGAGGAGCGAGCGAGAGCGAGCGAGCGAGCGAGCGAGCGAGCGAGCGAGCGAGCGAGCGAGCGAGCGAGCGAGCGAGCGAGCGAGCGAGCGAGCGAGCGAGCGAGCGAGCGAGAGCGAGCGAGCGAGAGCGAGCGAGCGAGCGAGAGCGCGAGCGAGCGAGGAGAGCGAGCGAGCGAGCGAGCGAGCGAGCGAGCGAGCGAGCGAGCGAGCGAGCGAGCGAGCGAGCGAGCGAGCGAGCGAGCGAGCGAGAGCGAGCGAGAGAGCGAGCGAGCGAGCGAGCGAGCGAGCGAGCGAGCGAGCGAGAGAGCGAGCGAGCGAGCGAGCGAGCGAGCGAGCGAGCGAGCGAGCGAGCGAGCGAGCGAGCGAGCGAGAGCGAGCGAGCGAGAGCGAGCGAGCGAGCGAGCGAGCGAGCGAGCGAGCGAGCGAGCGAGCGAGCGAGCGAGCGAGCGAGCGAGCGAGCGAGCGAGCGAGCGAGCGAGCGAGCGAGCGAGCGAGCGAGCGAGCGAGCGAGCGAGCGAGCGAGCGAGCGAGCGAGCGAGCGAGCGAGCGAGAGAGCGAGCGAGAGAGAGCGAGCGAGCGAGCGAGCGAGCGAGCGAGCGAGCGAGCGAGCGAGCGAGCGAGCGAGCGAGCGAGCGAGCGAGCGAGCGAGCGAGCGAGCGAGCGAGCGAGCGAGGAGCGAGCGAGCGAGCGAGCGAGCGAGCGAGCGAGCGAGAGCGAGCGAGCGAGCGAGCGAGCGAGCGAGCGAGAGCGAGCGAGAGCGAGCGAGCGAGCGAGCGAGCGAGCGAGCGAGCGAGCGAGCGAGCGAGCGAGCGAGAGCGAGCGAGAGCGAGCGAGCGAGCGAGCGAGCGAGCGAGCGAGCGAGCGAGCGAGCGAGCGAGCGAGCGAGCGAGCGAGCGAGCGAGCAGCGCGAGCGAGCGAGCGAGGAGCGAGCGAGCGAGCGAGCGAGCGAGCGAGAGCGGAGCGAGCGAGCGAGCGAGCGAGCGAGCGAGCGAGCGAGCGAGAGAGCGAGCGAGCGAGCGAGCGAGCGAGCGAGCGAGCGAGCGAGCGAGCGAGCGAGCGAGCGAGCGAGCGAGCGAGCGAGCGAGCGAGCGAGCGAGCGAGCGAGCGAGGAGGAGCGAGCGAGCGAGCGAGCGAGCGAGCGAGCGAGCGAGCGAGCGAGCGCGAGCGAGCGAGCGAGCGAGCGAGCGAGCGAGCGAGCGAGCGAGCGAGCGAGCGAGCAGCGAGCGAGCGAGCGAGCGAGCGAGCGAGCGAGCGAGCGAGCGAGAGAGCGAGGAGCGAGCGAGCGAGCGAGCGAGCGAGCGAGCGAGCGAGCGAGCGAGCGAGCGAGCGAGCGAGCGAGCGAGCGAGCGAGCGAGCGAGCGAGCGAGCGAGCGAGCGAGCGAGCGAGCGAGCGAGAGAGCGAGCGAGCGAGCGAGCGAGAGCGAGCGAGCGAGCGAGCGAGCGAGCGAGCGAGCGAGCGAGCGAGCGAGCGAGCGAGCGAGCGAGCGAGCGAGCGAGCGAGCGAGCGAGCGAGCGAGCGAGCGAGCGAGCGAGCGAGCGAGCAGAGCGAGCGAGCGAGCGAGCGAGCGAGAGAGCGAGCGAGCGCGAGCGAGCGAGCGAGCGAGCGAGCGAGAGAGCGAGAGAGCGAGCGAGCGAGAGAGCGAGCGAGCGAGCGAGCGAGCGAGCGAGCGAGCGAGCGAGCGAGCGAGCGAGAGAGCGAGCGAGCGAGAGAGCGAGCGAGAGAGCGAGCGAGAGAGCGAGCGAGCGAGCAGGAGCGAGCGAGCGAGGAGGAGCGCGAGCGAGAGCGAGCGAGCGAGCGAGCGAGCGAGCGAGCGAGCGAGCGAGCGAGGAGCGAAGCGAGCGAGCGAGCGAGAGCGAGCGAGCGAGCGAGCGAGCGAGCGAGCGAGGAGCGAGCGAGCGAGCGAGCGAGCGAGCGAGCGAGCGAGCGAGCGAGCGAGCGAGCGAGCGAGCGAGCGAGCGAGAGAGCGAGCGAGCGAGGAGCGAGCGAGCGAGCGAGCGAGCGAGCGAGCGAGCGAGCGAGCGAGCGAGCGAGCGAGCGAGCGAGCGAGCGAGCGAGCGAGCGAGCGAGCGAGCGAGCGAGCGAGAGCGAGCGAGCGAGCGAGAGCGAGCGAGATATCTATCTATCTATCTATCTATCTATCTATCTATATCAACCTATCTTTCGGTATTTTCTTTGGAAATCGATGTAATTTTCTCATTAAAATTCATCGAGATTAAGGAAGATTGGCTGAATTCTTATATATGTACATATTTTCAAAGTAGTTTCAAACGTAAAAACTTGAATCTGGTCACAGGAGTCTGCTGCGTTAAAAACTTGTAAGTAAAATATTTGTAAGCTCTCCATTAGTTTAAAGTAATTTTTGTAAATAATTTATAAATTTCAAAAATTATTCAATTGCCAACTGCCTTCATCAACTACTGATTATACTTAACAATCACAACTTGACCAAGTATGTAACTACAAAAGATATCCTCATTTTCTTACTTAAAATGCGTTAAATCGCTAACTAACAAAAGTGAATTTGAGACAAAACAAAAGGTCACGTTAGCTATGGTTAATTAAGATGGAAATAAAACATTTGAGGAACCTATAAGATTAGTAACACTTTTATCTCTTTTACTTCATTTAACATTTTTTCGCATTAAATTTGTTTTCTTAACAGAATTGTCAACACAACTACTACTATGTATGGGAATTGTAGAACATAAATAGTTTTTAATACCCATGCAGAGTTTTATGACAATTAATTAGGTCTGCTGTGTATTGTATCTCATTTTATGTGTAGATACTAAGAGATAGAGAGAGCACAAGAGATGTAAGTATTTGTAAGATACATTTAAGTGTTGTGGAGTTATTAAGTATGAAAACAGGTAAGTGGTAGGTACTATTTGATTAAAATAAGTACTCAAGCAAAGGTTTCTGTTGAATATTTAGATATAAAGGGGTTTAACTCTATATTGATTAAAATTATTAAATACATATTCTTAAGGACTTCAAATGGACTAAAAAAAACGTGGCCAAATTTACACTTTCTAATGAAAATCTTTTGCTTCTGAGAATTTGGATTAAAGTGCTATGATCTGAAAGTAATTTAGACAATGGACTTGCTTGTTTTCCAAATATGTACTTTATTTACAAGAAAAGGACAAAAAAATCAATTCCCTATATTATGTTTACCCAACTCTTAACACATAAAATAGGTACTACCAATAAAATCCACAAACGAAGCACATGTATTACACACAAACAAGACATAAAATTGAGGT